TTAGTGCTCCATCGTGATATCTCTCACCATGTCAATATAGCATCTGTAGACTCCTTTTTTTCCAACACCTACCAAATTACATCTCTCAATACGACGATACCCTATCGCAAGCTTCCTCTAAATCAATAAAGACCATGTGGAGGTCATTTCCCTTCTCCCTGAACTTCTCAATCAGTTGTCTAAGTAGGAATATGGCCTATATTGTTAACCTCCTTAGCATAAACCCTAATTGATTTTCTAATACACTCATTTTACGCCTTAGTTGTTGCTCAATCACTCTCTCCCACCGCTTCATAGTGTGGCTCATAAGTTTGATCTGTTGACAATTCTCACGATTATGTGTCTTCTTTGTTCTTGTAAGTAAGGAGTACAACACCTTTCCTCTATTCATCTATTGTCTCCTTTGTTCTTGTAAATAAGTACCACAATAACTTTCCTCCATTCGTCTGGCATTTTCTTTGTTCTCAATACCATGTTGAATAGCTTGGTCGGCCAGTATATAATCTCCCCCATGCACTTCCAAACCTCTATCGGGATACCGTCAGTTCCTAAAGTCTTCCTACCTTCATCCTCCTTAAAACTTCTTTCACCTCAGATATCCTAATCCTAAATATGTATCTATGACCCCCACCCTCATTTATGCTAAAAGATCCTCCTAGAACTGTGTTCCCATTACATTTGTTATTTAACAATTTTTTAAAATAAACTCTTCACATTTCATTGACCTCATCATCCTCCACCAAGACCCTCTGATCCTCACTCTTAATGCATTTAATATGGTCTAGATCTCATTTCCTCTCTCATTTTTGCTAGTTTAAAGACGTAATGTTCACCTTCTTTTATTCTTAGTTTATTGTATAGATTATCATATCCCTCTAGTTTCTCTTAAAACTTCTTTTGCCGCTTTCTTAATATAGTCAGCCATCTCATTCCACATAACATTGACTTCGTGTTCAAAGTTCCATTTTTCTCCTTTTACCAATTTATCCTAAATAAATCTATTTTCTCATTTTAAAATTCCACCACCCAATTCATGGACAAATATTAATACCGCTCATTCTCTTTCATTTCTTTATGCCAACATTTATAACAATGAGTCTATGTTTGTGTGGTCAAACTCTCACCTGGGATAATCTTCAAGTCTTTACATGATGGTTGATCGATCTTCTTAAATATAGTCAGCCATTTCATACCAAATAACATTAACTTCGTGTTCAGAGTTTCATTTTCCTTCTTTTACTAATTTATCCTAAATAAGTCTATTTTCTCATTTTTTAAATTCCACCAACTAGTTCTCGGACAACTAGTCATTCTCTTCCATCTCTTTATGCAGACATCTAGAACAATGAGCCTATGTTGTGTGGTCAAACTCTCACCTGGGATAATTTTCAAGTCCTTACATAATGGTTGATCCATCTTCTTAACTAGGAAGAAGTCTATCTAACTTTTATATGATCCACTTTTATAAGTTACTAAACGTTCATCTTGTTTTTAAAAGTAGGTGTTTGCTATTGCTAGGTTGCAAGTAATAGCAAAATCTAGAATAGCCTCACCTATCTCATTTTTTCCACAAAACTATATTCCCCATGTACCCATTCATATCCTCTACTATCCTTACCCACATGACCATTTAAGCTCCCTCTTAAAGAATTCCTCTCTCCATTTGGTATGTATTGAACTAGTCCATCCATGTCCTCCCAGAATTATCTCTTAATTTTGTCCTCTTGTCCTACCTATGGTGCATAAGCACTATTACATTAATTATCCCTTCCCCTAACACAAGTTTAATTAATAGAAGCATGTCATCTACTATCTTGACATTAACTAGTTTATCCTTTAAATCTTGGTCTATTATTATGCCTACACCATATCTATTATTATCTTTTTATGTATACCAAAGTTTATACACATCAATCTCTTTAGCTTTTTCCCCTTTCCAGTTAATTTCTTGTTGGCAAGCTATGTTTACTCTCTTTTATTTCATTGTATCCAATATCCACTAATTTATACTCTTACCTGTTAGCGTTCCTATATTCCATGTGGCTAGAAGAACCTATTATCTCTTCCCGCATAAAACCCCATGTGTATCCATGCATGATAGCTTATCTATGATACCACTCCAAAAAGTAAGCCAATGGTTCTAAGCTACATTGCAAAGACACATGTATGTATCCGCGTCTAACATGGACACCCAAGTGAGAAACGCCAACCCTAACATTGGCTCTTTAGATGTAACATGTCAATAAGTTTACTTTAAGCTACTTCAAGCAGATTATAGTGACTCCAAAAAAAGGCCAGCACACATTTATGCATTTCAAATGTCAAACATGCATGTCATGTCCATGGTATCGTGACACATGCTAATAACCATGGACACACTTGACCAAGTTCCATATATTTTGAGAATTAGTCATTATAAAACCATTCAAAAACACAAACCCTAACATTTTCCTTTCACATATGACATGTAGATACGTCATTCATACCTATTTCTGCATCATGAACCAAGCTAAACCCAAATTGAATATTTTGTTGGCCTCAGATTTCCACTCAAGCAAAGCAGCCAAAGAGGTTTAATGACAACAAAATCTTTGGCACATGTCAGTTATGAACAAATTCCTCAAAGAAAGGACAAGGGATTCCTCAACTTCCCTATGCCAAATAGTACACCTTGTTCACCATAAAGTTTGTGATCAACTTCCTCAGCAATCTAGTAACATGTTCTTGTCATTGTTAACCCTCATTCTGATTCTCTTGAGGGTATTGCTTCCTATGCTCCACCTCCTAAATAATGGCTCATGAAATGTCATGATTTAAGGACTCCGTTCAGCAATTTCCTTCCACAACATTGGGCCCCTCTTCTCTAATCCTGCTTAATATCTTTCCTCTATCGAATAAGTACTTTGGTTTTCTTTCCCAACAATGTTGGATTTCGACAGCCCCATGCTGCTATTTAAAGGTAATTTGATGTAGGGATGAGAGGATAAAAAATAAATAAATCAGAAAAATACAAATAAAAACAAAGGGTAAGAGATTATACCACTCTCTGGGTCTATAGGGGTGTCCACCCCAAAAACGATCCTTTCACAAAACCTAAAATCAATTCTGCTTCTCTAGTCACTATAAATAAACAAAACATAAATACCCAAAAATAAATAAAAGATCATGTAATCTAAATCAAGTAAAATGAAAATTAAAACCGAGTGCATTATTCTTCCAAGGTTCGAAGATGCTCAACCTCGAGTATGTTGTGTTCACAAGATACTTGGTAGTTGTTACTTTGTCTTCTTCAGTGAACTGATCATTTAAACACTTGATACGCAACTTGTAGCGGAACTCTAAGATATTGAGCATAATTATGATATCTCTTTTAAGCTCAAAAGGTCGTATTCTACATTCTACAACTAGTGTATCTTCTTCTTTATAATAGAATATTGAATGTGTTTTTTTTAGCAAGTATAATTGATTATTGAATGTTGTAGCGCTTTTTAGGTTGTTTTAGCATCTTTCTCATTGAGATCGACCTTTTTATGGTGTTCAATATATTCAAGTTTCTTCATCATCTGATCTCGAATCTGGAGATTTGGTGGCAGATCTACTAGATTACGAGAACCCTCATATTGCCAGCCGACATATTCTAATCATCGCAATTATTGATTTATTTCACCAATCTCCTCAAATTTCTGCATCTCTCTCCTCAAATTTCCTCAACAATTCTTGTATAACTTCCACGGCTTGATCTATGCCCTCTTTAATTTGTCGACCCATCACCTCTATGATGGCAACATATCCAATTCATGTAGAGACAAGTGGAAATAAAGTTAACAAACCAGAAAATAAAAAATAAAAAAAAACAGTTTATACCTTCTGTGGGTCTGTAGTAGGGTCCTCCCTACCAGATCTTTTCACAAGACTCAAAATTGATTCTTTAATTGTTCTTCTCTATTCTCAACAGCTAAAAAGACATAAATAGCCAAATTTAAATAAATAAAATAGCATATCACATAAACCTGCTTTTGAATATTCTAAAGAATTCCAATAAATCAAAAATCAAAACCCCGATACCTCGTAATCTCCCCAATAAATAATAACAGCTCATCCTCAACACTGAAAGATGACCCCCAAACTTGGATTGAATACCAAGTGAGAGGCACCTGTGCATCACAACTTAAAGTCTGAATATCTACGTCCCCATTTATCTCAACTGCCTACTAATTATTAAAATAAGGGACATATCTGTATGCGTTAGGACATGGTTGTCTTGGTAACAAGAACAGGTGAAACAAGCACCACGCATTCAATTCCAGGCCATTAGAACTAAAATCAGAGGCCTCACCATGCCCAGCTCTTTTCTCTTGAAAAGATCACTAACCAAAATGCCCCCAAAAATCCACTTTCTTTCCCTATATCATACACATCGGTCCCAAGCTTCCAAATACTCACAGAGCCACAAACATTGGTCACTGTAACCATGACTAACTTTATCCCTCTGAAACCTAATAAATAAATTTCAAAAATCCACCAAAACTAGCATCGCATTCAAAATGCACGGTGGCTCCTGCCAAGGACTTATGCTCAACCTATGTAACAATTTGTTTTATCCATGGGTGACAATGCTCTACAGGTTTGTCAACCCATATTTTCAGGGTTAGAAGGTTGCCAAAAAAATTATACGAAGACTTTAAGATTTTCTACACATGCCTTGAGAACTCTTCAATGTTCACGAAGGTTTTAAACATCTAGTCAGGAAAAATTACAGAATCTTAACATTATGTTATTAAATCAGGGTTAAACATCTGTTAGGATGATATTAGTCTTAGATTCTCTTGAACAACTAAAAGGATGAAGAAAATATACGAGAACACCGCACACCAAAAGAAATTATGATGAAAAAAAATGAGAAAGAGAAGAAAACAAGAAACGATAGAGCAGCTTTCAATTGTAGCCCACATGTAACAGATCTTAAACGATGAGAAGAGGAGTGAGGAGGTGAGAGAAACCTGACATCGAGCTGAAGACCATTGGATCCTTGATTGAGAAGAGAGTGCAAGTGGCTGGCGTCAGAGGAGACCGCGAGTGGAAACAATGGCGGGCCAAAGTCTTGTTCGATCGAAATTTCACGCGAGGATTGTGGCACGTAGGAAGGTAATGAAGGAAATTGAGACCCCGTGGAGCAGCGCACGAAATTCTTACGGGGACATAAAACTCGGTTGCCTGGGAATTGTCTGGCGCCCCGGCCTGTCCCTTACCGGCCTAAACAAAAATATTGTAGACCGGGATCTCGCTCTTTAGCCGTAGTTTTCTTTAGGGGTATTTGTGGATTTTTTCAATCGCAGAGAATTTCGGGGTTAAATTGACAACTTTATTCTTTTTAAGATGAAGGTTGGCGTTTAATTAGGGTTTTTAGATAACGAATTAGATTTTAGGATTGTTTTTTCTATAAATATGTAACTATTAAATTAAAAAAAATAGAAAATTACAAAAACATCTCAAAGTCATACTTTCCCACAAATTCAAATCACTTGAAATTTTACGTGTGCGTTCTTTTCATCAATGAGAACTTAATAAAAATATATGCGAAAAGCAAAATAACCAAAATACCTTTCAAAACTTTTTGGGGGTATTTTGATCAATTTATTTCATGTAAAATATTTTTTTGATATTTTTAGAAGATTCACCTATTTTTTATGAACCAACGTTTAAAATTTCAAGTAATTTGGATTTGTAGAAAAAAAAAATTCAAACGCTACCGAACATCCGTGATCGTCAGATCGGCCCATATTCAATATGGGCCGTAGAGCTCATATGTTCATATGAGCAAATGGGCTAACCCCAGCTTTT